TCATGAGAATGATTATGTGGGTTGAAATGATTGATTGTGTTGAATTCAATTTACGTAGCTAATTCTTATTGCTATGGATAGAGGATGATTGTTCTCGTTTAACGTATATTTGTCGGGCTTGAATTGTTCATTCTTGTGTGGGTTGATTTGATTAGAAATTGATAAAATCTTGTTTGGTTGATTGATATAACCGAAGAGTGACACTTCGATCTTGCAATTGGAAACAATTTAATGTTGATTAGTCGAGTTAGGGTTTTGTTGATTCTATATGATTAGTCGATTAGTTCTCTTCTACTTTAAATAGCGACTTATAGAACTGAAAGGGGAGAAGTCGTAGACTTAGGCTCGCATGAGGTAGATAATTTGATAATTGAGTAGTCTATAGGTTTTGGATTGAAATACGTGTTTGTCGAAGTTCCTTTCCTTGTTACGAAAGTTATTGGGATTGGGATAATTGACCTGTGTCGTATGCTCGAGTTTGTTCATCTATGTTCAATTCCTTGTTACGAAGAGCTTTTGGGAGCGAACCGCTAGATGTTTAAGCGAGAGCGTCAATCTAGAATAGAATGATTAATGTCCCGGTGTGCAAATAGAACTTGAATTAATTGTCCCCGACTCCATAGCTTCTTCATCGTTGTTTCGTTTATATTTTTAGGTAGATTATTGTTTTATGTTATTCCTTAGTTTATAATTCATTCCATCCCCTATTTGATTAGTATGTTTAGGATTTATTTTGCTTTTATGTGCTATCAATATCATTTCTAAATTCTGAACCGCCTTCCTCGAGAGATCGACCCGGGGAACGAATCTTTCGATTCGGTACTCGGTAAAAATAATAATTTGTACACAACAACTTGGAGAGTGGATGAAAGAGTCGGTTAATTTGAACAACTGGAGGATCATATGATCATGGTTGGGTGTTTGAGTTGAGAGGTTACATATTTGAGCCACATAGCCTATACTTATCCTACTCGATCCCAAAGAGCCTACGCTACAACCCGGAAAGTCCTTTTGATTCATTCGATCATGACATTGATTGTTTTAAAGTAGGAGTTAGACGATGGGAAATCATATGATTGAATTCGAATGACGACAATTTGAGCGTACATATCTCATATTTATGTAAGAAAATAAGTGAGGCTTTATTATATTCCCTTGCTTGAGATTTTGTCTTTTCAAAGCATGGTAACCAAGTTAGTAATTGAGGTTGGTAATTGAAATTCACTTTAACTTAGATGATCAATTTGATACTCTTCTTGTTTAAAATTGTCGTCCATGCTCGTTTGTATGCTTTTTTTTCTTTTCTTTTTGTTTGGAACGAACAAAGGTTTAAGCTTGGGGAAGTTGTTTGTCCCATTTTTGTTACTATTTTCGTTTTTGATTTGCTTGTATTTTTCCCCCATATTAGGTCTTTTATTAGGATTTTTGGTCCATTTAGTCTTGTGTCACGTGTTTTCATTTATTTTGGTTTTTTCGGTGTTTTCTTTTGTTTTCGCTGTTTTCGTGTGCTTTCGTTGTTTTTTGTTGTATAAGAGCAGGTAGTTCTGATCGAGACTTGGATACCTCTTTCCTAGTTATCGATCCAAGAGTTTCTACCCATGACGTGCCATCGAGATCCCGCGACTCGTGGGAACTCCACTGCTCGTGGAGGTAAAATGAAATCGAATGTTATGTTGGGAGCCATCACTGGAGCATGAAAAGGACTCCCTTATATTAAGAATTTTGCATGATATAACTATAGAGGAGTTCAATGGGGACGCTTAGGAAAAAAGGCACTCAATTCTGAGTCCGGACGACTCATACGAGCACGAGGCACAAAGTCGAGGCAGAAGCGAGCGCCCAGCGCGCACAAGGAGTCGCGCTGCGATGCTCGAGCAGCCTTGTGATGCGCCTAGGTCGCGCGCCATGTCACGACAACAGAGCACTCCAGCATCCCCACCCGTCGCGGCACGACGAGCCTCTCGTTGGGACACCCTGAAACGTAAAATCTAAACCTGGTCACGATTTTGGCTCGACTTTGAATCTTCGTTTATGGCGACTCGTGCCCAGGGGTATAAAACATTCCCAGAACTTGTAACATTCAGTTTTTCTCTTTTCCAAACAACTTTTTCTCGAGCTTTTCATCTTGAATTCGATATTCGAAGGTCACACTCCAAGAATCAATTTGTAAATAGTTTCTTAGGATATTTTCTCCACTTTTTCTTTTTCTCCCATGTTTGGATTGTTGGAAACAAGGACATTGGGATCGAACTCTTGCAAGTCCTCGATTGTATGTTTTTTATTCTATATTATTATTATTGATTGGGTTTATGTTCTTCAATATGATTAACATAGAATTGAATCCAAGAATGATAATACATCCACTTAGGGTTAGGAATTTTTATTCTTGTTCTGAATTGTGTTGAATGTGCTTTGTTAATCTATGCGAGTTGCTTGAATATTAGGATTCATCAATTGTTAATCTGCTAGGTAGACGACCTTTAGAACGGAAAGGGGACGGGTGTTGAACCTAGGCTCATATGAGGTGAACGTTCTCTTCTAATCTATTTAAACAACTTTCAACTGAGAAGGGAGGATTTGTTCGACCTAGGCTCGTATAGGATAGACTTGTTCGTAAAAGTATTGTCTGTGTGTGCTCTTGTTACGAAAAGTTATTGAGCATAAACCTCTAGGCGTGTAGGCTTGTTGAATCACGTAACCAAACCAATAAGTATTCAACATACTTAAGACTTGATGAAACTTCCCGACCCCTAACATTTAAATTGTTATTTGTTTGCTCGCTTTAGTTTTAGATCATTCTTCAACCATTCGTGATTAGAGTGTTTATGATTCATTTTCTTTTCGTGGTGATTGACACCAATTTTAGATTTTGAACCGCCTTGCTCGAGAGATCAACTGTACTCGATAAATAAATACAATTTGCTACAACATTAGCCTTGGTCCTTGAGAATTGGAGTGTGGGATGGGTTAACTCTATAAATAGGAGTTTTTAAGCTGCAACTTCTCTGCTCTAGTTCATCAAAGCTATAAAGTGGTGTACAACAACTTTCAAAACTTTTTTGCCGTATATAATGTTAATTAAATAAAGTATATGCTTGTTTTTTTATATAAATATACATCAAAATAAGAATAATACATCATTAGTATTACTTTCTGTTGTTTAAAGTTTTCAGATAAGTGCACTCCTAGATATTAGCATATAATTTTGCCAGTTATTCTATGTAGCCAATTTGCTATACATGACAAGTAAAAAATACCAAATGAAAATGAATTAATTGTATTTTTTTACTAACTACAAAATAAGGTATGTTTTATCTACTATTGTATCCCCATATATTAATTCAGAACATGTTGAGCCTACTTGGCAGGCTCGCATGCTTGAGAATCATATGTGGCAAAATTAAATGCTTCGTTATTAGGGTTGGACGCTTCGTTATTAGGCTTTGATAGATTTTAATTTACTTCCAATCCAAAAATAACTAGGTCCGGATCATCCACAAATATGTTGCTTATTTATGGTCATCTTATATGTATTAATTATATTTTAATATTATTTCTATTATAACTATTGAATTGCAAATGTATTTTAAAAGTGAATAACTTTTGTATTTTTTATCAGTTTCACATATATAATATATCAAACTAATCATATCTTGATGAACTCCGATTTAACGTCAATATTATGTGTATAATAAATTAAATAATATTTATATTTATAACAATAATAAAATTATTTTTAATATTAGTTAGAAAAATAAAATTATTTATCAATTAATATATTTATATTTCAAGTAGTTATATGATATAAGTTATAAAGATCACTATAATATAACACATGTAAGTGACACAAGTAACAAATGTCATTCTAAATTATATAATAATATATATTTTTTGTAAAAAGTAAATAAATTTTAAAATTATTATTTCTCATTAATTTTAAAATTTCAGATAAATAAAATTTAAAATAATATTTCTCATTAATTTTAAAATTTCAAAATATTTTTTTAACAAACACCCTATTATACACGGGTGTTGTACCAGTAGTACATAAAATAAAATAAAGAAAAAGATAGGACAACCCACATGGCACAAATGTATATTTCTTATTGACCACACACTCGTGCTATGGGACATAACAGTAGCTTGATAACCATCGCCGGAGAAAAGCTAACTATGCCACTCATCAAACTTCTTCCCCCTCACCGCCACAGCCTCTCCCTTCTCACCCCTTCACACCGACCGCCGTCATGTTTCTTAGTCCCTCCAGCCGAGCTGAATCTCAAAACAAACACGTCGAAAAGAAGGTTCAGAACCAACCGAAGGCTGAGATCATATTCTCCGGGTCCGGTTTCTGCCACATCAGCACCGCTTGATCTCACGGAGGATAACATCAAGCAGGTCTTAGACGATGCTAGAACCGAGGCAAGCTTTTCTTGTGTTCTTACCATAGCTCCTAGAAAATTATGATATGCAGTTTAGTTGGGATGTTGAGAGCATTGTGATTGAATGACCTTCGAGTTTTTCAAAACTTGCAGTTGGCGCAGCTTTTTGACGCGTCTGTTAACATAACAGGTGAACTTATTTGCAATTTAGATGTGATAATTCGGCTCCTTAAATGTTTTTGTCTGTGTGCTAATGTGGAAAAGAGAATGTTAGAACAGGAAAAGCAGAGCTTGTTGAGTTAGATGGACCGTATGTGAAGATAAGCCTCACCGGCCGCTATTGGCATAAACGTTCTACGGTTCTGGCCAGACTTGGGAACTACTTGAAGCAGAGAATACCAGTAAGTTGCACTAAAATAAAAGTTACCTTCTTTATATATCACTTCCTGTCAAGAACTTCAGTAGAAACTTGTATTTTCCAAGTGCCTCAAATTTGTATGCTCCATTGTAGAATACATAGCATTCTAATGGTTGTCGATTGTTATAGGAAATCTTGGAGGTCGATATCGAGGATGAGAAGCAATTGGACGACAGCCCAGAAAACTTCTGATAAACGATTTCTCGTGCTGTCTTCTTGTAATCCAATTTTTTTGCCGGCACCTTGTTCAGTACTATTGAGCTCGAATACTCGGATAAAGTTGCTACATATAGTTACTGTTTGAAACCATATGTATGCTATTCATTAAAATGTAATGGTGCTTGTCGAAAAATAGCACGATTGGCATTTAAATACTCATTCGTGGCAAACGACAAGTTTGGGATTTGTATTATCACAATTGACATTCAAATATATCGTTAATGCCTGCATAACGTTGAAAGCTAATCGAACATGTACCTTCCAAAACGAAAAGATAGAAAAAAAAAGTGAACGTATCATATATGCTAAGTTTTAACTAGCATCATTCACTAGGACAAGATTGTGATCGAAACCCGCAACAGCTTGGAAAACTTGACGACCCTCCAAATGTTCGATTAGCATAGGTTCGGGTTCATCAGTAGAGCTACCCAATCCGAGCCGCCCATTCCTACCACAACCCCAGGACCAAACCTCACACTTATTTGTGACAGCTAATGAATGCACGCGCCCACCAGAGACGGATGTGAGGCCCACACCATCGAAACCAGCAACAACCAATGGAACATTTTCAGAACCTTCTCTCCCGAGCTGACAATTTTGATTCCATCCCCATGTGACGACATTGTTTGTTCCATCTTCTGACAACATATTCGTGCAAATTGCTAATGAATGTCCGAGTCCTGATGCTATGCGGATAGGTCGGAGGTCTGAAAATTTCATGTCGACTGCATGAAATCCTAAATCGTTTTTAGCTCTACCCAACTGGCCGTACACATTGCTCCCGCTACTCAGAAGAGTACCATCGCCTGAGAATTAAATATGAATTAGCTTATTTTGATTTGGAAATAGTTACAAAATTCAATTTTTCGTTCTATCTTACAAATAGACTTAACAATTATGTTATTTAAAAAAAAAAAAAAAAAATATTGGTTGAAGGATGTAATGGCAAAGTGTTTGATCAAAAGTTTTGGGTTTTTTACAATTTAAAAAGTTCAAGAGAGATAAGTGTAACAAAATTCATGAATTTTTCGGTTTCAGGTAGCTCCACAAACGGGATGAGCGAAATCTAAGACACTTGTGTTAACCTCAAGCATGGCATTTCCGCAAAATTTCTAGTTAGCTTGGTTCTTTAGTAATTATAGGTTCTTAAATCATTATATATGATAATCAATCACATGTTATTTCATACTAATGGATGGTGCTGGCTTACTGCACAATACTAAGGAATGATCAAGCCCACAAGCCACATCCATCACATCAACATCATGCAGTTCTTCAATTTGAGTAGGCTCCCAGATAATCGGCATGTCCTTTTCCTTCTCTACTGCTTCTAGAACCAATTGCTCAGCTGCCTCAATCATCACGTTCGAGTTTTCGCATGATGATGACTTCACTTTACCAGCAATAGAATCTAGTGGGGATGCCTCGAAAGGTTTGCCAATCTTCCCTAATCTGCCATCCGAATAATATCCCCAGCCGAACAGTTTCCCATCTTCAGTCAGAGCAAGAGCATGTCCCCAACCCAGTGAAACCTGACCCAATCACACATAAAAATCTTAAATTTAATTCAAATAGTATGAAAGTTCACACCAGCTGCTTTCTTTTTTTTTTTTTTTTTCATCGAGCATTCGCGTTACTGGGTTGTAATAGTACATGATATGCACATCATAAACGAAATCCTATACAAATTAATATTTCTACCTTAAACATGATAATATGAGGACCACCTTAACTATCTCATGTCCAAGAAGTGCTTCGACTCTAGAAGGTGAAACAGCCTCAGTGATGTCTTTTCCCAGACCGAGTTGCCCACGTTTGGACTTTCCCCACACCCACAAAGTACCGTCATATCCGGTTGCAGCAGATACAACACCAGATGCAAATGTATCTGCAACCTTCACTTGATCCAATCCTTCTACTTTCTGTGGTTCATTCCACTGTTCTCTAGATATCAAGTAGGAAAATTTTAGAAAAATGACTTACATGATTGACAGTAAGCCACAACATTAGACGTATTCCACTTCAAGGGACATAAAAAGAACAACTTCGGGCCTAAAGATTGAAGCTTTTAAGATAAAAACAGACCACAACTTCTTTCTCTGTAGCTCGAGGGCCCAGATTTCAACTGCAGCCAAGAATAGCCTCACAAGCCAAATTATTTGTCGACGGGCAGGCCGAAAGGCTAGGCAACCATACTTTTTCAACAAATATGCGCACTTTCAAACTGAAATGTCATACTCCGAAAAACAACACAAACAAATGCATAATATTTCCTAGTTGAAGTATGCATTTTTGTTAGAAAAGGTACCGCCTAACAGTTAGTTCACCTCACACAAGAATTTGTGTTTCTCAGTAGCATAAAAGCAATTTACGGTGATGATGATTGATAACAGTAGATGACCTTAGAAACTAAATTCAAGATAATTTATGAATAAAAAAAACATAGGCAAAGGGAAAGAAAGACCTAGGAGAAAGCGGACCACGACCAAGCTGCAATTCGCTGTTACGGCCCCAGGCCCAGACCTGGCCCTGTGAAGTGACGGCAAGGGAGTGGTAGTGGCCGGCGGTGACGCCGCAAACGTCCGGCGGCAGGGTCGTGATAGGAGTGGGTTCGTAGGCGTCGAAGCCCAAACCCATCGGAGAAGAGGACAGGCCAAGTGCACCATGGGACCCGTCCCCGAAGCTCATCACGGTCGTTGACATCAAACGCCGGCCCAGCCCGATTAAGCGGCCCGATTGGGATCCGTTTCTTGCGTTGAGGGATCGTAGCATTGTGATCTATGTGTTTGCGAAACCATTGAAGGTGGAATTAAAAAAAGAGAAAATATATTTAACCTCCCAAACTATGTTGTTTTTTAAATTTTGTCTTACAAACTTTTTTTTTTTTTCCTTGACAATTAGTTTATCAAAGATAATAGTAATCGAAAGTAACAATTTATCTAATCTTCGATTGAAAATTTAATAGTATGGCACAAAAAAAGGTTTAACTTTATAAATTTTAACTTGGTCTTTAAAATTGATCTAGGTTTATAAAGCTAATGAGAAGACGAACAAAATGAGGTATAATTTGTCGATTTTTTAAAATTGATACTTCTGTTATCGATCACGAAGATAATAGGAGCACGTATGTATAAAAAAAAAATCAATTCAGGATTTTTGATAATCAAGGTATCTGATTTTGTAAGTGATATAATTATTTAAATAGATAAAAATTATACTGAAAGTGATAAAATTTAAAACAATATACTATTTGTTTTTTACGTAAAACATGGTTATGCATAATAACTAATTGTGATTTAATAAAAAAAATGCTAAAATAATAGTTAGTATAGTTGCAATAAGGAAAAAAATTAACCTCCAAAATATAGATTTTTGTAAGTTTCTCAAATTTTTAAAATTGATAAATTGCCTCCTAAAGTATTAAGAATTTTACAATTTGCCGACTCCAATTAAAGAACGTAACATGACAAAACAAAAACAAAACAATAAAAAACAAAAAAAAAAATCAAATATCGATATTTGTAAATCGAAATAAAATTAGTTTAGGACTTTTAAAGCTCATGTCGGATGAACAAACTGAAATGTGGTTTATGGATTTCTATCATTTAATTCCTTGTTAATTGAGTGATGAAAAAGATAAGTGACGTGTATAGAAATAATTTCTATTTTTATTT